AGTCACACTTGAATGTTCATCAGAGAAGTCACACAGGTGAGAAACCATATGAATGTAAAGAATGTGGGAAAGCTTTTAGCCAAAAGTCATACTTCAGCATTCATCAGAGAATTCACACAGGTGAGAAACCATATAAATGTAAAGACTGTGGAAAAGCTTTTAGCCAAAAGTCATACTTCAACATTCATCAGAGAAGTCACACAGGTGAGAAACCATATGAATGTAAAGACTGTGGAAAAGCTTTTACCCACAAGTCACACTTGAGAATTCATCAGGGAATACACACAGGTGAGAAACCATATGAATGTGAAGAATGTGGAAAAGCTTTTAGCCGAAAGTCACACTTGAGAATTCATCAGGGAATTCACACAGGTAAGAAACCATATGAATGTAAAGACTGTGGAAAAGCTTTTACCCGCAAGTCACCCCTCAGCAGGCATCAGAGAATTCACACAGGTGAGAAACCATGTGAATGTAAAGAATGTGGAAAAGCCTTTAGCCGAATGTCATACTTCAGCATTCATCAGAGAAGTCTCACAGGTAAGAAACAATATGAATGCAAAGACTGTGAAAAAGCTTTTACCCACAAGTCATGCTTCAGCATTCATCAGAGAATTCACACAGTTGAGAAACCATATGTATGTAAAGACTGTGGAAAAGCTTTTAACCAAAAGTCATACTTCAGCATTCATCAGAGAATTCACACAGGTGAGAAACCATATGAATGTAAAGACTGTGGAAAAGCTTTTAGTGAAAAGTCACAACTCTGCAGGCATGAGAGAATTCATACAGGTGAGAAACCATATGAATGTAGAGAATGTGGAAAAACTTTTAACCGAAAGTTTAACCTCAGGATTCATCAGAGAAATCACACAGGTGAGAAACCGTATGAATGTAGAGAATGTGGAAAAACTTTTAACCAAAAGTCAAACCTCAGCAGGCATCAGAAGAGTCACACAGGTGAGAAACCATATGATTGTAAAGAATGTGGAAAAGCTTTTAACCAAAAGTCACACTTCAGCATTCATCAGAGAATTCACACAGGTGAGAAACCATATGAATGTAAAGACTGTGG